ATCGAAATAAATCGAAATTTTTGCTTAAATCGATCGAAATTTTTGGTTTAAATCGAAAGAATATTTCCGTGTCCCTGGCACAGACTTGCCATTAGCAGTATCACGTGAAAATTCTCGTGAATAAGATATATTAGATGCAAAAAAAAAAAAAAAAAATTCTTCAGAATGATTCCTTCCCATTCAAAGAAGTAATGATGAATTGGCTTATCATGAAAAGAGTACCTTGTTTTTTTCTTTAAAAAAAACTTGGGACCAGATGAAAAGATGTGCTTAGCCGTTTCCTTGTTACGTCAAAAGCACATATGCCTATCTGAACAAATAATTTGTGGAAGCGAATCTATTCTTTAAATCTTTCTGGCTCTAAAGTTATATTTCTTTTTCTTTAAAACAACTTTTATATATGTATATGTTGTGAGAACAGGATTTAATGTAATTGGAACTTAAGATTTTCAAGTTAGGGTTTAGGTTTATGTAACGAAATTCCAAATACACCTAAATTCCATTCCCACTCACAACATATATATCACATACTTTTGTGAGTACATAGTTTTTAAAATAGACTATTTGAATATTAGGAAAGTATTAATTACTGAAATATAATGACGGTTGTAATTAATGAAATATTTTAAAGATTTTAATTTTATAAACTTTATAACCAAGTTGTTAAAAAAAAAAAAAAACTTACAAAATATAAACAATAAATACGAAAACGAAAGAAAAATTATTATCAGCAATTGTGACTATTTTATTACAAATCCACAAAGATAAATAAAACGAATTTAACAAAAGTAAACACCAATTGTGCGTCAAATTTTCCCATACTTAGATGGGACTTGTTGCCGTAATTTTAAGCATATCGGTCAAAATTAACGTCAATAATCCGACCGCCGTAAGTGTATCCACTAAATTTTTCTTTATTGCAAGTATTAAGTATTCTTGATTAATAATTCATCTAAAAAAACATTGGTACTTGACAGTGAATAAAAAAAAAAAAAGATTCTTACCAACAGCAAACCGGGCAGATTCGTTTGAATCGAACTGCACTACACCGGCACCCTTTGGTCTTCCATTTTGCTCCAGAATCTCGGCCCTTAAAACGTTACCTATTTACGATCGAGGTAATAACATTAGGCAAAATAACAAGCAACTATTACAATATAAATAGTAACTAACCACAATGTTTAAAGAGATCTCTCAAATCCAAATTAGTTGTTGTAAACGGAAGCTAATGTAACCCAACAAAAAGAAAATACCAATTAATTCTAGCATGTCTATCTCTCCTAAATTTTATTTCCATATCACCTATCGTTTTTGTTTAGCAATACCAATACATAAGAAGAAACAAAGATATTGTTTTCTTCTGCAGTTTCAAATACAACTATGAAAATCTAATGCCAAATATTATCTGCATAGAGTTCTTACATTTCTGACAAAGATTTGAGTTCCAGTCCCACCCGATGCTCCTGGTGTAGGATAATAACCCGCCGACCCGTCATATCCAACTGCTGCACCACCGTATGGGGGAATGTAACCTCCACCAAATCCACCGCCGCTATAATCCATCATGTTTGCGCCCGCAGCGCTGAAATCATTATAACCGCCACCGTATCCATCATACTGGTCTGGACCAGGTCCCATAGATTGGTAAGTCGAACCAAAGCTTGCTGGTGCAGCTGCTTGTGGCCCATAAAACCCTCCTGCAGAATTATGACCATAATGACTCGGACCCGCATAAGGACGAGTTGGACGTGTTGAAAATCTTGGCGGTGGTGGTCCTCCAGCAAATCGATCCTATGAAAAGTAAGGGGAATGCATTCGAAAAAGAAAACCCACCAGCTCAATACTTGCCTCATGTTAATTCCTGCCCACACCAAACAGTAACGCGGTAGAAACAACGTGCTTATGCTTAAGTCACGTTATAACCACCGACTACACCTTTTTTTCCACCAAAAGATTTCCAAACAAAAAAAAAGCAACCAAACTACACCCCACCTCACGGACTTCAATCCTTCTACCATTCAATTCGTACCCATCGTACATAGCTAAAATAAAAATAACCATTTAGCTTAATGACCCTAAATTTCATCCTTCCCAATTCCTCCTTCTTCCTACTTTTATACACAAGCCAAGACAAATTCCCATAATTGTTTTCACATACAAATCGCATTTGCAGCATCTCCCGGTGTCTCAAAAAGAACAGTCCCTGACCCTTTAGATCGTCTATCTTGACCAATGAGTATATCAGCTCGAATAATGTTTCCTAGCAAAAAGTATCAGTGATTAATTTAACGTATTAA